GGCACCTATTTACAGCTAGGTAAGAAGGGCATCAGGGTGAAGGAAAATTTGCCCATTTTTTTTTACGGCGGTGCCGGGGAATGAGTCCCGGTCAATAGGTTTACGAGTTCAGAGCGCTCTCCACTCAGCCACCAGCCCCCACCCCCCCGGGCTGCTGGCTGTATGTGTGTGTATGTGTGTGTGTGAGTGTGCACGCGCGTCTACATGCACATGTGTGTGTTCCAATAATTACATTCAGTCTCTGCTCGATGAAATAAACTTCGGAAATGACTTAAATGAACCGATTGAACACGCAATGGTAGAACAGTCCACAAAGATCAGATCTTAATGAACTAAGTCCTGGGCCAAGTGTGGTTAAAACACCACTTGTTTACGGTGGTAAAACAAGAGATTTACCCCTCGCTGTGTGGGTCGCTTGTTTCCCTTGCTTAGGATGCTTCCTTTGCTTAACTTGCTTCATCTGATATTACGTATTTCATACCACTAACCTGAGAGAGGCACCGTCTTCCAATATTACCTCAGTATGATATGTTATCCTGCAGCACTAAGGAAACACACAAACAAGCAAACAAGGTTGCTCGCGCCATTATTAACAAGCGCGCCAAACTGACATATAAATTATAAAGCTTGAAATGGACTTAATTATTAATGACATTGTCAACAATGTAACTACTCATTAAATATGTCACAGTTGACTATATTACGGCTTCAATTATCACATGTTATTAGTGAGGCAGGTGTCATCAGTGAGGCAGGTGTCATCAGTGAGGCAGGTGTCATCAGTGAGGCAGGTGTCATCAGTAAGGCAGGTGTCATCAGTGAGGCAGGTGTCATCAGTGAGGCAGGTGTCATCAGTGAGGCAGGTGTCATCAGTGAGGCAGGTGTCATGAGTGAGGCAGGTGTCATCAGTGAGGCAGGTGCCATGAGTGAGGCAGGTGCCATCAGTGAGGCAGGTGTCATCAGTGAGGCAGGTGTCATCAGTGAGGCAGGTGTCATCAGTGAGGCAGGTGTCATCAGTGAGGCAGGTGTCATCAGTGAGGCAGGTGTCATCAGTGAGGCAGGTGTCATCAGTTAGGCAGGTGTCATCAGTGAGGCAGGTGTCATCAGTGAGGCAGGTGTCATCAGTGAGGCAGGTGTCATCAGTGAGGCAGGTGCCATGAGTGAGGCAGGTGCCATCAGTGAGGCAGGTGTCATCAGTGAGGCAGGTGTCATCAGTGAGGCAGGTGTCATCAGTGAGGCAGGTGTCATCAGTGAGGCAGGTGCCATCAGTGAGGCAGGTGTCATCAGTGAGGCAGGTGTCATCAGTGAGGCAGGTGCCATCAGCGAGGCAGGTGCCACCACCGAGGCAGGTGCCACCAGCGAGGCAGGTGCCACCAGCGAGGCAGGTGCCATCAGCGAGGCAGGTGCCATCAGCGAGGCAGGTGCCATCAGTGAGGCAGGTGCCACCACCGAGGCAGGTGCCACCAGCGAGGCAGGTGTCATCAGCGAGGCAGGTGCCACCAGCGAGGCAGGTGCCACCAGCGAGGCAGGTGCCACCAGCGAGGCAGGTGCCACCAGCGAGGCAGGTGCCACCACCGAGGCAGGTGCATCATTAACTCCAGTCCTATGAATAGATCATCTGAGTGTATTCATCCAGAACTTTTTATGTGTAAATGATTGGGAGTTTCCTCCAATTCTAAGACGTCTTCTTAATTAAAGTGTTCTTGAAGGCTCTGAACTGAGATGTTTCACGACCTTAATGATGGCGAAGAAACCTGAAAACTTTACCCATTTTGAATAGGTTGATTCAAGCATTGGAAAATAATATATTTTTTATTGCTGTCGAAGGATTCAAATCATCAACATATCGTTAATGGTGTTTTGATTGTGTTGATGATTGTTTTTTTATGTCTCAAGTATAGCGGGTTTGTGTTAATAGTGTTTGGTTTGTTTCTTGTTAGTGACGAGTTTGTTTTTTCATGTGTTTTATATTTTTATTCTGCCAATAGATCGGTGTTGTTTTGATAACGGTGTGTTTGTGTCTAATGTCTAATCGCTATCTATCTTGCAATGATAGCGATTAGAATATGCAATTTCCTAATTTCATCTTCGTGTGTGTTTGTTGATGATCTGAATTTAATGTATATCTGTTTTGTTGACGATATTCTTTATTAAATATTCTGTTTGTTTTGTTGAGCTGTTAATATATTTTGGTGGAGTTGATGATTTCAAGTTAGTTGATGACTTGTTGATTCTGAGTTGAATTCGTTTACAAACGTGTGTTTGTTTTTCTAAGGGTTATCAATAGTGTATGAAAATAGTTCTTATTATTCCTCCACCAATACTATAGTAGGTGGATAAAGATCTAATCATTGACTCTCAAAGTTGTAAAGTGTCCATATACAAAAATATTGGACTAGTAATGCACAAGCCTTGTTATATAATAGACTAGTAATCAATTTGCTTGAGTTAATTAATCATTTCAGCCCGATTTTGAACAAGAAGATTTTTGGGGAACGATTTCAGCAACAAGTATTTAAGCCTGCCTGGTGAGCTGTATTATATTATGTATATGTGATTACAAAAATATGTATCACATATCTAAATTATCACATAGAATATATGTGAATTAAACCCGTATATTGTCAGCTAATAAGAGAACGTTCATGAATTGAAAATTATATACATTTTATGGTATAATCTAGTGAAGCCTGCAGTAAGTCTGAAGCCTGCAGTAAGGCTGAAGACTGAAGATTGAAGGTAGTCTGGCCTCTCACATTGAACACCACGCTGAGCGGAGTCAGGAGTGAACCACAGCTGTTTACCACCGGGAACTTAATTAACTTTCAGGGGAAGTAAAAAAGGTGAGTGTTCCGATTATTATGGGTAACTGATCTGGACCCCTCTAGGTGTATGCTCTCTCTCTCTGTCTCTCTCTCTCTCTCTCTCTCTCTCTCTCTCTCTCTCTCTCTCTCTCTCTCTCTCTCTCTCTCTCTCTCTCTCTCTCTCTCTCTCTCTCTCAGGGGACAACAAACAATAATTTATGATTTTCTCCTCAGCTTTTCCTGACGTATTTTTTGTCCTCATATATTGCTGAGAGCGACGCGTCGTTCCTCAGCTCATCTCAGCCCTGACCAGGTCGTTCCCTCTCATGCTGTCGTCTCGGTAATTCATCACGTCGCTTGTTGTCGTCCCGGCGTATCATCGCTCCGACTCGTTATCCACCCAGTTATCGACCCAGTTATCCATCCAGTTATCCGCCCAGTTATCGACCCAGTTATCCATCCAGTTATCCGCCCAGTTATCCACCTAGTTATCCACCTAGTTATCCGCCCAGTTATCCACCTAGTTATCTGCCCTGTTATCCACCCAGTTATCCTCCCAGTTATATGTTTTCTGTCTAGTTCAGGCGTTGTGAGCATGATAAAGATAGAATGTTGAAATATTCTGTGTCATTAGAATATTGAAATATCGTATTTATACAAAAAATAACATTCTAGTTTGCTGTCAAGTTGAGATGTTGTGATTGTTAAGTTGTGTTAATGAGTTTGATTGACTCTCACTTATAAGTTTTGCTAAGTTGTGTTAATGAGTTCGATTGACTCTCACTTATAAGTTTTGCTAAGTTGTGTTAAGTTGTGTTAATGAGTTTGATTGACTGTCACTTATAAGTTTTGCCAACATTTCTGTTTTATTAATGGTGTAACCACGTGGGCATTGGTGATGATTTCGGGGTTTAGCGTCCCCGCGGCCCGGTTCTCGACCAGGCCTGCTTTTTGTTACACATCCCCCAGGAAGCAGCCCGTAGCAGCTGTCTAACTCACAGGTACCTACTTACTGCTAGGAGACGGGGGGCATCAAGGTGAAAGTAATATTTTGCCTATTTGTCTCCGCCTCCACCGGGGATCGAACCCGGAATCTCAGGACTACGAATCCGAAGCGCTGTCCACCCAGCTGTCAGGCGCCCTAAGCAGTGTAAAACATTTGTTGCTAAACCGCCGGTTTAGCTGCGTCGTTGGTTGAAAGCCAACAACGTTACATAGTATAGTGAATATACCGGTACTTAAATCTAATATACTGATACATATATATGTACATATACCGAATATAAAAGCACATATACTGAATTTACCGGTACTTATATCGAATATACCGGTACATATACCGTATGTAACGTAGTTACAGAACATCTTACGATGTTCCGTAACGTAAGTTAAAGAACATCAGGATGTACTCACCTAGAATGGTCACCAGACCACACACCAGAAAATGAGCAGACGACGACGTTTCGGTCCGTCCTGGACCATTCGATACAATCGAATGGTCCAGGACGGACCGAAACGTCGTCGTCCCTTCACCTTCTAGTGTGTGGTCTGGTCAACATTCTTCAGCCACGTTATTGTGACTCATCGCCTGCACTCACCTTGAAGGTATGTAAGACACAGAACATCAGAAAGTACTCACCTTGAAGGCATGTAAGACACAGAACATCAGAAAGTACTCACCTTGAAGGCATGTAAGACACAGAACATCAGAAAGTACTCACCTTGAAGGCATGTAAGACACAGAACATCAGAAAGTACTCACCTTGAAGGCATGTAAGACACAGAACATCAGAAAGTACTCACCTTGAAGGCATGTAAGACACAAAACATCAGAAAGTACTCACCTTCTTGAGGTTATCTTGAGATGATTTCGGGGCTTTAGTGTCCCCGCGGCCCGGTCCTCGACCAGGCCTCCACCCCCAGGAAGCAGCCCGTGACAGCTGACTAACTCCCAGGTACCTATTTACTGCTAGGTAACAGGGGCATTCAGGGTGAAAGAAACTTTGCCCATTTGTTTCTGCCTCGTGCGGGAATCGAACCCGCGCCACAGAATTACGAGTCCTGCGCGCTATCCACCAGGCTACGAGGCCCCTATAAACATAGGTCTTACATACCTTGAAGGTATGTAAGACACAGAACATCAGAAAAGACTCACCTTGAAGGCATGTAAGACACAAAACATCAGAAAGTACTCACCTTGAAGGTATAAGGGAAAGTTTGGAGTCTGAAGCGGGACCTCATCCCAAGCTGGGACTCTTCATGAACCTTATGGTGACCGCTGGCCGCTTCACGAGCATCAAAGCTGCAACCAAATCATGATGATGAATATAATCACTTTGTTGCATCTGGTTATTTTTGCAATATTTGTCATCTTTTCAGGAAAAGTGACGAGCGCGAATTTTCTAACTTTTCAAGTAAATTCCTTCAATTATGATTTTTGTTAATTTTTTAACAACATTTTTTGTAATAAAATCTGTTTATCATTTGGAATTTAATGATATATTTACGAAACCTGTGTCACCAAGAGTAATATTTCGTGTACCTAGCCAACACATCAACACAACACAACAGCCAGCCATCAACACAACAGCCAACCATCAACACAACAGCCAACCATCAACACAACACAACAGCCAGCCATCAACACAACAGTCACCCATCAACACAACAGCCAACCATCAACACAACACAACAGCCAACCATCAACACAACAGCCAACCATCAACACAACAGCCAGCCATCAACACAACAGCCAGCCATCAACACAACAGCCAGCCATCAACACAACAGCCAGCCATCAACACAACAGCCAGCCATCAACACAACAGCCACCCATCAACACAACACAACAGCCAACCATCAACACAACAGCCACCCATCAACACAACACAACAGCCAACCATCAACACAACAGCCACCCATCAACACAACAGCCAACCATCAACACAACAGCCACCCATCAACACAACAGCCAACCATCAACACAAGAGCCAGCCATCAACACAACAGCCAGCCATCAACACAACAGCCAGCCATCAACACAACAGCCAACCATCAACACAACAGCCAGCCATCAACACAACAGCCAGCCATCAACACAACAGTCAACCATCAACACAACAGCCAACCATCAACACAACAGCCACCCATCAACAGAACAGCCAACCATCAACACAACAGCCAACCATCAACACAACAGCCAGCCATCAACACAACAGCCAGCCATCAACACAACAGCCAACCATCAACACAACAGCCAGCCATCAACACAACAGCCAACCATCAACACAACAGCCACTCATCAACACAACAGCCAACCATCAACACAACAGCCAACCATCAACACAACAGCCACCCATCAACACAACAGCCAACCATCAACACAACAGCCAACCATCAACACAACAGCCAACCATCAACACAACAGCCACATATCAACACAACAGCCAACCATCAACACAACAGCCACATATCAACACAACAGCCACCCATCAACACAACACCGACCCATCAACACAGGGAAGGGTGACCCACCTGTAGAAGGGTTTAGTGGCCAGGTTCTTGTACCAGAGTATGAGCGTGGGTCGGTCAGAGGGCAGAGGCAGCTCACAGGGTAGTCGTGCGGTGTGTCCCGCCAACACCACCTGTGTCACCGTCGTCGTCGCTGTGGGAGGAGACATGATAGTGACTTCACTATTTATACCCCCATACTATGAGACGACATTTTAGGCTCTTATATTCGCACTTGTTATTCAGGCTGTTATATATATATATATATATATATATATATATATATATATATATATATATATATATATATATATATATATATATATATATATATATATATATATATATATACATATATTTATGTACAAGAAGGTACATTGGGTTAGAGGGAATACATAGCATGGTATTTACAATCTTGTAAAGCCACTAGTATGCGCAGCGTTTTGGGCAGGTCCTTAATCTAACAGATAATTTTAAGTAGGTAAATTCTAGCAGAATTAGTAAAATGATAACAAATACATTGCATGAAAAAAATGAGATGGGAGAGAATAGTAAGTATATTAAAGCACATTGGTATATTAAAGCTCGGATTGATTACATTGACAGCTTGATTGGTAATTTAAACAAGATTGACAGACGCCATACAGCAGATTGACAGCACATATATGAAGACAGCAATGATCACACTGGTAAAGATGTTCGGATTGGGTCCATAAAGATTGGGAGATTGGGTAGCAATAAATACAGTGCAATTTTAAAGCAAAAGGTAAAAAACTATGCAGATGAAATTAGGTACTTTTTAGTTTTGTTTTTGAATGACGCAAAAGTTGGACAGCTTTTCAATTCACTAGGGAGTGAGTTCCATAGACTAGGTCCCTTTATTTGCATAGAGTGTTTACACAGATTAAGTTTGACTCTGGGGATATCAAAGAGATATTTATTTCTGGTGTGGTGATAATGGATCCTATTACATCTGTCCAGGGAGAGTTTCAGAGCAGGATTTGCATTTAAGAACAGGGTTTTGTAAATGTAGTTGACACAAGAAAATTTGTGGAGTGAGATTATGTTTAGCATGTTTAGGGAGTTAAACAAGGGGGCTGAGTGTGTGTGTGTGTGTGTGTGTGTATATATATATATATATATATATATATATATATATATATATATATATATATATATATATATATATATATATATATATATATATATATATATATATATATATATATAGATATATATTAGTATATTTTGGTAGCAGTCTTTCCTGTAGACATATATTATTAAATATGACCGAAAAAGTAAGATTAATAATTCTAACACGAATTTTCTCAATCTTTCGTACATTTCGTTTCACTGTTGGAGGTAAATCAAAAATCAATTCTCCAAAACTCATTTTTATTTCAAGTCTGACGCGACACGAGCGCGTTTCGTAAAACTTATTACATTTTCAAAGACTTTAGTTCACAAATACACAACTGAATAGAACTTACGCATCTCCGATTTTATATCTACATTTGAGTGAGGTGGAAGGGGTGATGTGGCATTAACACAAGACAGAACAAGATGTGGTATTAATAGGGTATTAATTTCATCAACACAAGACAGAACAAGAGTATTAATAGGGTATTAATTTCATCAACACAAGACAGAACACGAAACAATGGATATTGAATAGAAGTGTTTGTAGAAAGCCTATTGGTCCATATTTCTTGATGCTTCTATATTGGAGCGGAGTCTTGAGGTGGGTAGAATATAGTTGTGCAATAATTGGCTGTTGATTGCTGGTGTTGACTTCTTGATGTGTAGTGCCTCGCAAACGTCAAGCCGCCTGCTATCGCTGTATCTATCGATGATTTCTGTGTTGTTTACTAGGATTTCTCTGGCGATGGTTTGGTTGTGGGAAGAGATTATATGTTCCTTAATGGAGCCCTGTTGCTTATGCATCGTTAAACGCCTAGAAAGAGATGTTGTTGTCTTGCCTATATACTGGGTTTTTTGGAGCTTACAGTCCCCAAGAGGGCATTTGAAGGCATAGACGACGTTAGTCTCTTTTAAAGCGTTCTGTTTTGTGTCTGGAGAGTTTCTCATGAGTAGGCTGGCCGTTTTTCTGGTTTTATAGTAAATCGTCAGTTGTATCCTCTGATTTTTGTCTGTAGGGATAACGTTTCTATTAACAATATCTTTCAGGACCCTTTCCTCCGTTTTATGAGCTGTGGAAAAGAAGTTCCTGTAAAATAGTCTAATAGGGGGTATAGGTGTTGTGTTAGTTGTCTCTTCAGAGGTTGCATGGCTTTTCACTTTCCTTCTTATGATGTCTTCGTCGAACAGGGCTCCATTAAGGAACATATAATCTCTTCCCACAACCAAACCATCGCCAGAGAAATCCTAGTAAACAACACAGAAATCATCGATAGATACAGCGATAGCAGGCGGCTTGATGTTTGCGAGGCACTACACATCAAGAAGTCAACACCAGCAATCAACAGCCAATTATTGCACAACTATATTCTACCCACCTCAAGACTCCGCTCCAATATAGAAGCATCAAGAAATATGGACCAATAGGCTTTCTACAAACACTTCTATTCAATATCCATTGTTTCGTGTTCTGTCTTGTGTTGATGAAATTAATACCCTATATATATATATATATATATATATATATATATATATATATATATATATATATATATATATATATATATATATATATATATATATATATATATATATATATATATATATATATATATATATATATATATATATATATATATATATGTCGTACCTAGTAGCCAGAACACACTTCTCAGCCTACTATGCAAGGCCCGATTTGCCTAATAAGCCAAGTTTTCATGAATTAATTGTTTTTCGACTACCTAACCTACCTAACCTAACCTAACCTAACTTTTTCGGCTACCTAACTTAACCTAACCTATAAAGATAGGTTAGTTTAGGTTAGGTAGGGTTGGTTAGGTTCGGTCATATATCAATGTTAATTTTAACTCCAATAAAAAAAAATTGACCTCATACATAATGAAATGGGTAGCTTTATCATTTCATAAGAAAAAAAATTGAGAAAATATATTAATTCATGAAAACTTGGCTTATTAGGCAAATCGGGCCTTGCATAGTAGGCTGAGAAGTGCGTTCTGGCTACTAGGTACGACATATATATATATATATATATATATATATATATATATATATATATATATATATATATATATATATATATATATATATATATATATATATATATATATATATATATATATATATATATATATATATATATATATATATATATATATATATATATATATATATATATATATATATATATATATATATATATATATATATATATATATATATATATATATATATATATATATATATATATATATATATATATATATATATATATATATATATATATATATATATATATATAAGCTGTACCCGGCCACGCGTTGCTGTGACTCTGTGTTGCTGAATCACAGCAACCTTTCAACTCCATTTATACTAACTCTCTGTTTCCTTTGGTATAGCCATGCCCTAATCCAACTTAATATAGCACCCCCAATACCATGAGACTCTATCTTTTTAATTAGTCTTTCATGTGGCACTGTATCAAAAGCTTTGCTAAAGTCAAGGTACACAACATCACAATCCTTACCACTATCAACTGCCTCAACTATGCTGGAGTAAAATGATAGCAAATTTATTAAACATGAACGGCCATTTGTAAAAACCATGTTGCTAATCATTAATTAATTTATGTTTTTCAAGATGAAGACGAGTGGTATTTGCAATTATTGATTTAAGTAACTTTCCCACAATAGACGTTAGGCTAATTGACCAATAGATTGACACAAGTGATCTATGTTTCTTAAAAAGATTGGTACCACATTAACAACCTTCCACAACTCTGGCACTCTGCCTGACTCTAATGATTTATTAAATATAGTAGACAGTGGCTCGCAAAGCTCTTCTTTGCATTCATTAATCACCCTGGCAAACACTTCATCCGGCCCTGGGGATTTGTTTGGCTTGAGTTTCACTATTTGTTTAATAACATCCTCCCTGGTAACTGCTAAACTAGTCAACCTGTCCTCGTCCCCACCCACATAGACTTGTTAGGCTGAAGGCATAGAGTTAAGTTCTTCTTTTGTAAATACAGAGATAAAATATTTATTAAAAATACTACTCATCTCCTCGTCATTATCCGTTATCTGACCTGTCTCAGTTTTTAATGGACCTATCCTTTTCTCTAATCTTTGTTCGATATAACTGAAAAACCCTTTAGGATTTGCCTTTGCTTCCCTTCTATGCGAACTTCATAGTTTCTTTTTACCCTCCTTATCTCTTTTTTAACATTTCAGACCAGTTGTATGAATTCTTGTTCTAAACTGACTTCTCCATTCTTAATCCTCTTGTAATAAGCTCTCTTTCAACCTATAAGATTCTTCAGATCCTTTGTTATCCACTTTGGGTCATTAGTATTCGATCTATTCAATTTGTATGGTACACTATGTTCCTGGGCTTTGCTTAGAATATTATTAAATAAGTTATATTTTGAATCCTCATCAAAATCCCTTTTTACATCACCCATCGCTGGGTTCACTTCTCGCTCTAAGACCGGCTCTCACCCCATGCATCACCCATCGCTGGGTTCACTTCTCGCTCCAAGACCGGCTCTCACCCCATGCCCAAGACTTTCCTATCTTTTTGACCCAACAAAATTCTTAGGCTATTAAAATCAGCTTTTCGAAAATCTGGCACTTTAACAGGATTTTCTCCTACAGATCTATTCCATTCTATGCTAAATCTGATTTCTTTGTGATCACTGTTCCCTAGCTCACTCCCTATTTCGATGTCCTTAATTTGTGTTTCCCTGTTAGTTAACACTAAATCTAAAATATTATTTTCCCGCGTTGGTTCCTTAATGTGTTGCGTAAGAAAGCAATCGTCAATTATTTCTAGAAAATCTTCTTCTTCACTATTCCCATTTCTGTTAAACCAGTTTATTCCACTAAAATTAAAGTCACCCATGACACATACTGCTGGATCTAGATGCTCTAGATATTTCATCCCATAGATGCTTTGCTTCCATTTTGTCTAAGTTTGGTGGCCTGTATATAACTCCTGTTATAAGATTATTTTT